GAGTTGGTTTAGCATCTGTTCCCTGCTGTGTCCCCAGGCAGCTAGCAGGGTTTTGGTGATGGATTGGTAGCAGGAGCCCCTTCCAGAGCTCAGGCCATTGCAGGTGGCTGAGGATGGAGCACCTGAGGCTGCTGCAAAGCAGCTGCACTGGGGCAAACGCTCAGCAAGGGCCGGGGTAGCGCGGCTCACGCCAGGCTCCTCGTGCTGCCTCTCCTCGCTGCACCAGCCATCCCCGACCAGCGCCTTGGTGAGCTCCGGGCAAGGGCATCATCCTGAGGGGCTGGGTGCAGATGGAGCCGGGTGGAGCTCTGCTGAGCTTATTGGAAAAGACGAGAGAAGAGCAACGTGCATGAGGATTGTTTGCAGAGGGGCAGTGTTGGGCTGGGAGATCCTCTAGCACTAGAGAGAAAGGCTGAGAGGGAATCTGTGGCTGACGTGGACTTTGCAGCGCCCAGTGTTTTGAACCTGCATCCTGGGCACAGACCATGGCTGGGAACTGGGCAGGGGCCTGGGCTGCAGGGCCTACAGCCAGGCTGAGCCAGCTCCATCCTGGATTTAAGCTGAGCCAAGCTTGGAAGTTACAAAGGATCTTTAAAGGTCCCTGCCTGCTGGGCAGGGATTTGCTTTATAGGCACCGGAATGGGGAGGATAGGTCTTGCTTCTGTGCGCTCCTTCTTTCCCATTTCACCTCTGCAATGAAGAGGCCTCTGTCCAGGGCCTTGCTGGAAGGAGGAGTCAGCTCCCGAATCCAAAGGGTTCCGAGGTGGCTGCAGCAGCGCCCGGCTCCGCTCGCCCTTGTTTTGCTCGGATCGGATGCAGAGCCGCGGCCACATTCGGGTGCAAGGGCGGGCGGGGAGGTGGAGGCGCCACCAGGACGGGACGGGACCCCCCCCCGCCACCGCGTCCCCCGCGCCGAGGGCGGCAGCACCCCAGCCTCACGCTATTTTTAGGGAGCCGGGAGCGCTGGGCGCAGCGAGCAGTTCCTGGTTGCGGTTTCACAGCCCCAGCGGCGCTCGGCGCTGGCGGGGGCAGGCGCCAAGCAGCGCAGCCCACGGGCGGCACCCCTCTGGGGACATCCATCCTCCGAGACATCCCTCCTTTCCCTGCTCTGCATCCAGCTGGATGCCCTGGGAACAGCCGGCTGGAGGATGGAGGGACAGAGACAGGGTGGGGGCAGAGGGACTGCTGCATCCTGACGCCACCTCTGGCAGCCTTTTCCTTCTGGCCCTCGGTGCTCCATGGGGTGGCAGAAAGGGACACGTGTCCCTCTGCACTCCTCAGCCCAGCCTGCACCCGACCTGGCCACCTTGGAGCCGGGGACGTTGCGGAGGCATCGTTTTCTCCTATTCTTGATGCTCTGGGCTCTGAAACCTTTCTCTAATTAATACCAGGTTAAAAGAAAAAAAGAGAGAGAACGGAAACTGCGCTGTAACCTTTCTGCGGATGCTGGTGATGTTTGCTGTGGGTTTCTGGCTAGATCTGTTCTCTCCTTCTATAGGCAAGCTTAATCCTGGAGACACTAGATATCTGTGGATGCAGGAGAGGGAAAACCGAAAGAAACTACACAACAAAACATGGAAAGCTCAATTTTTCCTTCTGACCATAGTCCTGTGCTGAAGGGACTAATTTAGATCTCACAGGTTCCCTTCCGAATGCCTCCCACGGCGCTGTAGGCAAGGGCCTTTTGTGACTCAGAATCAAATCTTCTTTCTGAGTGTATTGTTCTCAATACCCAAACTTCATTAATTGTCAAGAATGTGTAGGATAAGCACATTTGAAATAGCCAGTTCCAAAACCGCAGAGAGCGCCCAGAAAAAAATCACTCTCTTTTCATCAGCTTTCACCTTACAGCTCAGCAGGGCTGCGGCGTTCGCAGAGCACCGGTGCAGGCAACCGGATATTTTCTCGGTAAACAAAACCCTGCGGGCCGAGCGCAGCGGAGGCAACTTGCTGATCAGCGGAAATACCACAATTAGGTCAGTAGGAATGCAAGCGATGGATCACATTTTCCCATCGTCTCACCCGGCGGTTTGCTGGCTGTAGGAACCGTGCGGCTTGGGGCTCACGGGTAGATGGAGAGCCGTGGCGGGAGCTCCGAGCCCTCCGAACGTAGCCGTAACCTGTCGGTTTCCTGGGCCTGGGCTCACGCTGAGCAGCCCTCACCTTCCCTGCAAAACATCACCCGGGCAGGCACTTTGCTCCAGCCTCTCCTCATCTTGCCATTGCCAGCGTCTCTGCCAACCACATCCCTCTCTGCCCAGGGACGTGCCCCTCTGCTCTGCTCCCACTGGTGTCTACAGCAGCCACACAACCCAGGAGCAGCAAGCACAGCGTTGCCTGGAGCCGCCGTCGGCCTTGTTGCAGACTGTGGGGACACGAGGTGACTCTGTGGGCAGACAGGGCCACCAGAACACGCTCCCTGGGCCACGCGGTAGCTCAAGAGCCAGCCACGCAGCAGCCCCTGCTCTCTCCCCGTGGGCTCTCTGCTGCCGGATGACCAAGGGAGCTCCCAAGGGAGCTGCCCTCCCCGCCCTGACGTGGCCCTGCCAGGATCCCCCGTGTCATATTTTCCACCCGCTCCTGTTCGTCAGGGCGCTAATGACGAGCGAGTCCCAGTTTCCTCGTTGCAGAACGCGCTCACCAGCCCTCCTGGCTTCGGGCACCCCGAACGGGAGCCTTTCCCGGGCACCACATCAAACTCGCCGGCCCCTGCGGGTGGGAGCCCCCACTCCGGCCTCCCCGGCAAGGTGCATGCTCTGTGGCAGCGGAACACCAGGGTTTCCGCCGCTGCTTACGGGCTCTTCTCATTTCGGTGAAACGGAGACCGGCAGCTATCCAGAAGCTGCCCCAAATAAGTTTCGTGTGCGGGTGACAGCCAGGGCTTAGGAATATCTGTGCAAAACCTCACTTGCAGTTCTCTGCACGACTCATCGCTGTGGTTTCACACATTTCACACCTTGGTACTCAGGATTTGGGGAAGGTACTAAGTAATGACTACACGTGTTGTCTTGTTTCTCATTTAAAGAGTTTCCCCAAATATGACTGTTACTTTTAGAGGAAACGGTGAAAAGCCTTAAAAAATGCTGATGGAGACTGTGTGGTTGAGCCACGGTGCTCGGCCCTGGAGGGTGGGAGAGGAGAGTGGCCTGTGGCCTCCTTTTGGGCGGCTGCGACCTCCTGAGGGTGGCAAGCTGCCTGTGCTGGGGCTGTGCCTCGTTCCAGCTCCGAGCCTCTCAAGGCGGTCAGGCTCGGTGTTCCCAAAGACAATGCCAGCTGCAGGGTCAAAGGGAAGGGAGCCTTGGCCCTCAGCTGGCACCTCAGCTCATCCTTTGCACTGCAGCTCTGTAGGCTCTGGCCAAGCACCGGGTCCAAAGGCCAGCTCACACCAAAGGGAGCCCCTTTTGCCAGGTGCCACGGCTGGGGATGCCACTCTGCACGGCCCTGAAGCCAGTCCCGTCCTAGAGAGCTGGCAGAGCCAGCATGGAGGGGTGGGCTAGGAAGCCCATGCAAGGCAGGAGTGCAGGGCAGTGCCCTGGTGCCAGCAGTGCCAGCCTGCACCGACGCTGCCACGCGCGGGACACGACGGCCCCGCGGCCGCACGCGCTGCCCGGCCGAGGCACTGGCACACGCCTGTGGCTCGGGCGCTATATTTAGGAGCGCGGTGCCCTGCCAGGGGCTGGTTGCAGAGCTGCCTGTGCTCTGCTCCCCGCGCTTGCCTCTGCAGCCGCGCGCGCCCTAACCACCAGGACAGGATGCGAGCGGGCGGCGGCGAGGCCCCGCGCGCCTGCGGTGCTGGGCGCCCGGCTGCCCCTGCTCAGCACCCCGCGCTGCCGGCAGCACCCGCCTGCTCCCGGCTTGCGCACATCTGATAAGAGCGGTGCCTTGAGCGTGCTGCTGTCAAAACAGCCCTGCGTGCTGGGTTGCTCAGTGCCGCTAAGGCAGCCGTGCAGCCCCGGCGGGTGCTCGGGCCCGTTCTCCTCCTGCGGGCCTGCAGGACGGGAGCTCTTCTCCTTGCCGCAGCGGGGAGGAGCTGCTGCAGGTCCCTGTCCGCGTGGTGTGAGCCCCGAGGAGCCCCAAGCCCGGGCAGGGGCCGAGGCCACTGCCGCCTCCGCGCTGGCTGCAGCAGCAGAGGCTCAGGGGGACACAGGGCTGAGGGTGCCCGATACTGCACAGAGGTTGCCTGTTTGGGCAGGAGCACCCAGAGGCTGTGAGAGCCCTCTCCATTCCTTGTACATCCATCTAGAGGCACATGTATAAGTGAAGAGACAGCCTGAGCATCGGTGCGCGCTTGGAGGCAGAGGCACCTTCCTGGGTGCCAACTTGTGTCTCCAGGCAGAGTGCCAAGAGGCTCCTCAGGACCCAAAGTCCTGGTGCCCATCAAGAGGCATGGAGGCCAGGCCCGCACGAGGCTCCTGGATGCTCCAGGAGCACCCAGTGTCACCCAGCAGGAACCCGTGTGGGCTAGGAGACAAGGCCAGAAGCCAGCACAGCCTTAGCCTAGGCTGAGCCCAGCTGCAGCCTCATCCTCCCCGGGGCAGAAGAGCCAAAAAGCCTTTCCTGCCTCCCGAGGAAGGAGCAGCTTTCCACGTGCTTCCTGAGCCCCGGCAGTCCGCACTGGGCCCAGCAGTCCTGCACATGGAGCCGGTCTTCATTTCCTTGAAGACCGTCAACCATGAAACACTCATTGGCAAGAAAAGAAATCACCGGGGTGCAGCCCGCACTGCTTCGAAGGCAACTATGAATACACGGAATAAGAATTTCTAGCTGCTTCTGGTAGGAAAAAGCATGGAAGTGCACAAGAAAAGAAAGTTGAAGCAACCTTTTTTTTGTTGTGGGAGACGGTGGTGAACAAACGTCCCCACGACGAAGGGTTTTTTCCAGGAAGTGTAGGTTGCTGCGCGCTGTATGCCCCGCGCCGCGGCTCTCGCCAGCAGTTCTCATGCTCGGCGCAAGCGGCGCGCGCGGAGACGGAGCCGCAGCCGCAGCCGCCCGCCTGGAGCATGAACGAGCCCTACAGCCCCGCGGCGCCCAGCAGCCCCTCACCCGGCACCATGAAAATGCTCGTGGGCTTCCTCGCCGCCTTCGTCGTGGCGCAGACCATCGGCACCACGCTCTTCTGCCTCTATCTGCACATGAAGATGGACAAGGTAAGGAAGCAAAGCCCCTGCGCTGTGGTCACCGCTGGGATTTGCCTTGGGTGCGGGGGGACCCGGTACAAACCGGGATGGAAACGGCACGAGGCGACGCTGGTGCAGAGCGGCGGCTGCGGCTCCCGTGCTCTGCTCCGTGCACGAAGGTGCCCGGGGTGTCTGGGGAGCTCCTGGTCCTGGGAGTCGGCAGCTCTGTGGCACTGAGGCGAGAAAGCTCCAGAAATGACTTTTTAAAAATGTGTTCATGCAATGGAGTTGCAGGCAACTCACTTCAGCTCTTGTCTTTATGCCCTGGGAAGAGAAGAGCGGATCAGGATACTTTTTTGAAGACCCTTTATCAGTTATCCCGCCTCACACTTGGGACAATCCTTACCAAAAAGTACAAAACCAAAGAGCTGTTTTAAAGGTTGCCGTGGCTGCTTAGGCCGTGCTTAGGAGCCTTCACTTAGAACTATTTTCCTCCAAAAAGAGGCTACCGCTTAGAGCAACTAAACGCACGTGAGCCCCAGAGCGAGTTCCCTGTGTCCCAGGCACAAAGACAAGGTCTTTCTGGCTGTCATTATAAACGGGACGCCTCGGGTCACACTGAAATCCAGGTGGGATCTGTGCCCCGGCGGTGGTCAGCGAACCCCAGCGAGAGCTGCCCCAAAGCAAGGAGGGGCAGAGGGGCTGCGGCAGAGCAGGAAAACTCCTTTTTTCATCATTCTTTTTTTTTTTTTTTTCCTGTTCTTTTTCTTTCTTTCTTTCTTAATGTGAAGCCCTTGGGACCCCTCAGCCACAACCCGTTGGTCATTTGGTCCCTCTGGCTCTGATCCGGGTGCAGCCAGCAGGAGCTGGGGCTGGATGCAGCCCCTGACCGCTGGCTGCCGCGCTGCCGTTCCCATAAACACCATCAGGAAAACGTTTTCCCCCTGCCTTGTGGAGATGGAGGAGGGGAAAATGGGACAGAGGGGGTGACAGGGGAAGGGTCTGCCTGGGGTCCCAGGGGATCCTCCTGCCCGTGGCAGCCGCGCGGGCAGCCTGGGTGCCCCTCACGCTGGCGCGGGGGCTTCTCCTCGCTGGGGTCCCGGCCCCGCTGAGCCTCCCGCTTTGCCTCGCCGCAGATGGAGGAGACGCTGAGCCTAAACGAAGATTACGTCTTCCTGCGCAGAGTGCAGAAGTGCCAGACGGCGGAGGGGCACAGGTCCACCTTGCTGGACTGCGATAAGATTCTAAGCAGCTTCCAGGATCTCCAGTGCAAGGTAGCCGGCTCTGGGAGGGCGAGCTCTGTTTAAGCTCGTGGGTGCCCTTTTTCCATGTTTTTCCCCAAAATGCTGAATGTTCCCCATGGGTGAGTGCAGCCCTGCTTCCCGCCAGCCCCATGTACAGGGTGCCGAGCCCCGGCAGAGCCGCTGGCAGCGGATTTGCAGCGGCACCGGGATGTCCACGGCCGCTGTAGGGACGGAAGCTGCAGCTATCCCAAAAGGGCCAGACTTGACTTGCTGGGAAGCAGATGCAGTCTCCTGCGCACTGTCTTTAAATGTCCGGGAAAGGGGATTTCTACTGCCTGTGCAGCAGCCTTAGCTGCCACTGCTGCTGGCTGGCAGGGACTGGGGACCTCGGGGCTGTGAACCACCTCGGGCTGCAGAGCGTCATTCCTTTTCTTTTCTGGCTATTGCAGGACGGGGGAGGCAGCAAGCAGCAGCCCAAGTTTGAGAAGCAGACAGGTGAGGAGCTTCCCCCGGCGCCCGCGGCTGCAGGGCACAGCGCAGCCCACGGCGCTGGTTGCTCCTGGCACCTCGTTCCCCAAGCCAGTGGGAACGGCCCCACAACTGACATCCACCCTTTCCTCTTGCAGGCCACGAGCATTCCCACTCCAAGGGCAAGAACGAGACGGCGGCGGCAGGTGAGACACGGGGCTGCCACGGATGCTCCCACCGCTCCCACTGGGAATGCCGGGCACATCAGGGCTGAGCGGAGCCGGCTCATGTCTTGCTTGGGGCTGGAGGGGATCTGAAGACCAGGGGGTCCCCAGGGGCTGGATTTGTCCCATAGCGGAGGCTGGGCCGGGCTGGGCTGCCCAAGGCGGACGGCAAGGCAGGAATAACGCTGGTGTTTTCCCGTTGCAGCGGAGAGGAGGCAGCCGATTGCAGCCCACCTGGCCGGGGTCATGAACAGCAGGGCAGTCTCAGGTAGGAGACGTTTCCATCTGGAGCCAAGCTCTCATTATTCTCTTGGATCCAAAACAAGTCCCTTTGGCTCTTTAGCAGTTCCAAGCCGATTTTGGCCGGTTGCACCTGCTCCCAGCTGGGCTCTGCAAGCACCAGGCGAACCTTGGCTGCCTGTGCACCGTGCAACTCACTGCACAGATGAGTTTGAGCTGGAGGCTCCAGCCACCAGTGCAAGAGTGAATGTGTGCGAGGTTGAGGCTGGCATTTCTCAACCTGAGCACGTTTGATTGCACTCTGGAGGAGCTGCCAGGAATTGGCAGCTGCTCTCTCGCCCTCTGACGCAGCAGTTCCCCCCAGCGCAGGCTCCCCATGCAAAGCTTCGCCTGAGATAAGATCAAAGTGAGCAACTCGCTGCATGGTGCAGCTCCCTGCTCGAGCACGGCTTGGAGCTGCGACGCAGGGACCTGCCTGGAGCGCGGGGCTGGAGGAAACAGCTCTAGGGGATGGGGCTCTGCGACCCCTTGCCCCGGCCTTTGTGGTGCCTCTCAGAGGGGTCTCTCCGGACTGGTGCAAAAACTCTTCATGGTCTTGGCCAAGCTCAACGAGGGGTTTTTGCTTCTGTACTTGACCAGTCCTAGTGCCTCCAGCAGGTGTTTTGGTTCCTGAGACGCTCTGATGACACATAGTGCCCCAAAGCTACGGCAAGGGGCCGGGGACAGCCCCGCTTGGCACCCACTTTGCGTCGGAGGCGCTTCCGAGGCCGCGTTGGCCACGCGAAACCCCGTGGGACGCTCACGTGGGCGCTTCCGCGGCCCAGTGCCACCTCCTGCGGCAGCTGGAGGGGCCGGACGGAGGGAGGAGGGACAACGTGTGCTCTAGCCGGGGTGCACGGGCACAGGGCCGGCCGCTGGCGCGGGGTGTCCCCCCAGGCCCCCGGCTCACCCGCCGTGTTCTCCCTCCGCAGTGCTAGAGTGGAGGAAAACAGGCTACGCGCCCACGAGCAGCCTCATCTCCTACCACGAGGGCAAGCTGAAGGTGGAGAGAGCGGGGCTCTACTACATCTACGCCCAAGTCAGCTTCTGCACCAAGGCCACGACTTCGGCCCCCTTCACCCTCTATATTTATTTGTACCTCCCCAAGGAGGACGACCGGCTCCTCTTGAAGGGCCTGGACACGCACAGCACGTCGCAGGCCTTCTGCGACCTGCAGTCCGTCCGCGGCGGCGGCGTGTTCGAACTGCGCGAGGGCGACATGGTCTTCGTCAACGTGACAGACTCAACGCGAGTCAACTACAGCCACGGCAGCACCTACTTCGGCATCTTCAAGCTGTAGCGGGGGGCCCAGCCGCCCTGGCAGAGCCAAGGGCCTCTCCCTCTCTCCCCTATTTATGTTCCTCAGCGTCTTTGTTGCCTCGTTTCTTAATTTGTATATTGTGTTATTTATTAATGAGGGCCCGGGGGCCCCCGAACAGAAACAGAACCAAGTTTGATGGTGTCAGTGTTTCAGTGTTTGCCTTTTTACCTCACTGCTGGTTTTGTAGGCGCTGCTGGCAGGCGCTCCGGATCCCCCCGTCACAGACAGGGTAGGGTGGATGCCCCGGCTGCATCACGAGTGCTCTTCAGCAAATCCTTCCGTAAGGGTTTCTTTCCTCAAAATGTAGAACATCTTAGAGTGCTCCAGTTAAGCTAGCTTCGAGCTGCACCTATCTCCTGTATCAATCTGCTTGCAAAACTGCAACGGAAAAACATTAAAAGGCTTAGGAACGTCTCCTCTAGAGGAATCAATCAGCAGAACACTGTCCTTCCGTGGTAACGGCCGGTGATGCATCGTTGCCATCCCAACTGTCAGCTCGCGCTCGAGAACCCCACTTTTTCCACCCGTTCCTCTCGGCCGAGCTCAGCAGCCTCCCTGCCCCGCGCAGCGCCAGCTCGGCTCAAGTTCTCCCTGCAGTGCAGGGCCGAGCGGCTTCAGAGCAGAGCTTGGGTCCCGTCACTGCCCCGTGGAGGAGCACGGGCCGCTGTCACCAAACCTGGGCCTCCTCTGGGGCCAGTTCAGCAGCAGGAAAGCACCAGTGTGGGTCAGGAACGGCCGCCCTGCTCTCAGCCCTCCAAGAGGTGCGAGCAGAGCGGCCTGTGGCTGTTCCAGGGAGGACACAGCCAGGGGGTTCCTGGAGCTGCGGGAGAGCAGCGCTGTGCAGGGCTGCCTTGGGCAGGGGCACCGGGCGCTCCCTGCCCGCCCGCCCCGAGCTCAGCAGAGCTGAGGACATCACGCACCCCTCGCTTCTTCACCCCAAGGTGCCAAGCGGTGCTGAGGTGGAAGCGGTCACCACTTATCTGAGTGCAAAATCGGGAAATAATGCTGTCCATCACCAGACCTGCAGCTGCAAGTGTTCTCAGATGCAGATAATCCTTAGGATTTGCTTAGCTCCAGGCTGGAATTTGGGTTGTGATGCGCTGCCCATGTGTGGGACTCGCTGGGAAGGACAGGGCACCCTCTGAGCGCCGTCTGCCCAGGCTGATGTGCAGGGTGTGAGGGGCATGGGGAGGGTGCAGGGGCACCCAGGGCAGCATCAGGACCGCATGGGGGAAGCACCGGGGAGAGAGGGAAGCAGCCGCATGGGAGCAGCGGGATGCAAAGCGGAGGGAAGTGCATGTGGTGCCTCTCAGGGTCAGGAAAACCGCGGGAGCCGAACTGCTCTTAGTCATGGGCAAAGGGAAAACGCTGCCCGTGCGCGGCCTCAAAAACACCCGGGGGAAAATCCCCGGCAGGCTGCAAGCTTCCCCATAGGCAGCCGCTTTCTCCGGAGCAACTTTATTTTCCTGCCGGGCCCCTGCTCAGAGCCTCACACGTACCAAAGCCCTCGGAAAACTTGCAGGGCGCTCGTACGTCGACTTCTTCCTCTCCCGCAGGGCAGCCGCTCTGTTCCAAGCGTTAACCGGGGGATCCCCCTCGCTCCCCGTCCCGGGCAGCTGCTGCTGTTGGGGTGTCAGGGCCCCCCTGTTCCTTGGACATTCCTAGAAAGCCCTGGAGAAGATGGGTGCTGAGCCCCCCTAGATGCCGCATGGGCCCCCATAGGGCTCCCCGACCCCACTGCCCACCTGGGACCCGCTCGATCCCTGTGCTGGCTCTGCTCCCTTTATTTTCCATAAATAAATATATATTTATATATATTTCAATATTTATATATATAAAAACATATATACACATACATATTATATATACATACATAAGGACATATGCATATGTTATATACCATTATATATATGTGTGTGTGTGTGTGAGGTGCGTGTATACATACCTAATGCTGCTGCACTATTGTTCAGTCCTGCACAGGGCCCCCAGGCAGGACTTGGCTCCCCTCCTACCTGCGGCAGGGAAGAGCAGCTGCCTTCAGCCTCATCCTCATCCTCGCGGGCCGGCGGCGAGCGCGGTGCTACCCAAAACTTCAAAGACACCAGAGTGCAGAGAGGTCTTGTCCAAGCGGTAGACCAAAGGAAATCCTGTCACCACACCTAATCCCCCCACAAAAATGTGCACAAACTATTAAAAAAAAAAATCCCTCAAGCAGCAGGAAGTGATTTAGGTCCCGAACGCGAGCGAGCGGTGCGAAGCTGCCCCTTCCCCATCACGGATCCTCGTGAACAAAACCAGCAAGGAAAACGGGGCCCGGAAACAAAGGAAGCGGCACGGCCGGCTAAGAAGCGAGTTTTGTCCTTCTTTATTTGTTGAAAATGTCAATTAAAAAACTGTTCAAAATAAAAACGTGTTAGAAAAGTTGACCTTGCATAAGTAGTAACAGTAAATAAACCTACATGACCAAGGTAAACTGGAAGGCAGCTGACGACATCCAGCTAAAGACAGACTCACTGGAACGTATTTACAAAGCGCTGTAAACAAAGTAAATATGGAAACATTGCTGTCCATCCGGCATGGCTTCTTTTCCTTTAGTTTATATATTTTTTTCTTGTCTTTTTTGGCTTCTAGCTCTTGACAAACGCTTGATCCCAAGTGTCCTCCATCACATGCATCCTACATATATATATACACACACACATATATATATCTATCTGGATCTGCCCCCTTGCACCGGGTGCGCCGCGAGCTGCGTGTCAGGGTGATGCTGGGAGGCTCGGCCGCGTTAACGGGGTGTCCGCGCAAAGCCCCCCGAACCGGGGCTATAACCCGACCCCTGCAGCCCAGCGCCAGCAGCGACGTGACACCATCCAGCGCAGGATTAACCCACACGGCAGCCCAGGCTGCTGTCCCAAAACCCGCCCAGCACGTGCCCAGCTGGGGACACAGGGAGCTGCCACTCGGCTGCCATGCTCTGGGGATGGCAAGGGTGGCCAGAGCAGGAAAAACCCCCTTCCATCCCCAAAACAGCTTAGAATTAAAAGCTGATGCTCTCTAAAATCCTTGTGATGCTTCTGGAGTGCGGTGCTCCCCAAGCACCATTTGCAACGTTCTGGTTGAATTTTAATCACAAGGAGGGAGGTTGCAGCTCTTGCCTCTATTTTATCCTTCATGAATAATATACTGGTCTGTGTAATGAGCTGTGGTGTGTCTGCATACCCTAGGACCACACTGCCCTCTGATATTCATAAGGTCTAGCATTAACAGAATATTATTTTTATAACGCTGCTAAGAGGAAAGGAAAACACCCGTTATAAACTAGGGTATAACACCAAACAAGATGAAGGTACCTGACAGGCACGCTGCCTGTGTGCTGTGCTTGAGGAGCTGTGCAGGGATCCGGAGGCGTGGTACACGTCATTGCCCCAGAAATGTCCCAACAGAAACAAACGCCTTCCCTATCCCGGGAGAAAGTTCCCTTTTCCTAAAACAAGCCCCTTTGGGGCAATGGAAGTGGCCACGGAGAGCAGAGAAGCAGCACGGGTGGGTTGGACTCTGCCAAGCGGTGATTGCGTTTTGCAGGGAGGAGAGCAGGTACTGCAAGGGGGAGCACTGCAAAACGACCAACTCAGACACCACCGGGACACTCCAAGTGAAAATGCAGCAGGGTGCAGGAGTTGCCCATCGTGCAGAAGAAGTCCTGGGGCAGAGCAGCAGGTACCTGATGTGCAATCGTGAGCTGTTCGGAGGCAGTACTGTGCAACACCCCTTCCCTGCGCTCGCCCAAGCGCTCCGCGTGCCACCTCCCCAAGGACTTGGAACGGCTGCATGGAAACGGCGCATTCCCACCAGCACCAAGGCCACTGGGAAGCACAGGACTGCTGGGCTCTAGCTCGCTACAGTCAGCTAGCAGGGAGACAGAAAGTGGGTGGGAAAAGCTTCCCCAGTCGTGACCATCTGCAAAGAGGAGCACGCTGCTTTTGGCCTCTGCTCAATGCCAACTCAGTAACATTTTCATTCAATAAATAGGTACCGGAGCTTTTAAAAAGAATGGAAACATTGAAAAGTGCTTACACCTCCTCTCTAGGAAACTACTGCCAGACACTTTCTGAGCGGTGAGGATTAGCAGAGCTTGTATTTGCTCCCGGTAGCAGGTACGATGAGGTATTGGTTGCTGCAGATGAATTGTGAATCGTGGACCGCTTGCTTACCGCTTCGCTTGTGATTGTTTCTGAGTTTGAGTTCCTGATAGGATGAAAAAATTTTTTTTCCTCTATGACCTATTTTTTGGTAACAAAATCCCCCAAACCAACGAAATAAGGAGCTAAAAGAGGCAAAGGATCCAGTTCTGCTTCCCGAAAAACACCTGAGGTCACACACCACTGGCAGCAGCTTCTCCCAGACTCAGGCTATGAGAGACGACTTGCGGCCCGTGTCCTCCCTGGCACACTCGTCCGTCTGCTTCAGCAGCCTTCTGACCAGCTTCTCCAAGTCTTTCCTCGATTTAAGCTCTTCCTCCAAACACTGCTTCATCCTTTTGTTCTCCTGTCAGGGGAAAAATGAAGGGATAAAGAGGCAGCTAATGCCCAGGCACTTCTGGGCTCTGCAATCTGCAGGGCTTCTCCTCAGCCCTGGCCAAACGTGACACCCCTGAGCACCGAGGTGCTGGTCTGGCTGGCTTTGGTTCTACCCACAGCGCACAAAAAAACCACTCGGATTACCTGCTTCAGTTCTTTGACTTCATCTTTCAGTGCATAAACCGTGTCGACAAGGCTCCTACAAAAACAAGAACCCCCCCCCGAACTTAGTTCTTAGCGTCCTTCCCCCAAGCAGCAAGGCAACGTGCCAGGGGAGAGCAGCCTCGCTTACTTTTCCTCCGTCACAGTCTGGCCGTTGCTTCTCGTCTCCTCTATGATGATCTTCTCCTCCTCGGGAAGCAGCACTTGGGGGATGGAGTCTTTGCGGGAGCCTGGGTGCAAGAACTACCCGTGAGGACGAGAGCAGAGGCTGTCCCTGCCGAGCACGGCGCCCTCGACCTGGCAGCCCCAGCAGCTCCTTACACGAGCCCAGAAAATGCAGCGGGGACGGAGCCGAGCAGGGGACGGCTGCTAACGCCAGGGACAGAACTGCAGCCGCAGCAGCGAGCGAAACCCTTGCAAGAATGCTCAGTGCATCTAAAGCAACATCATTACTTATAAACGAAGTCATCCGAGTGGGGTCAAGAGCCCGTGGAAGAACGATGCCCCCCCCATCTTTAAATGCACCATCATTTACTATTTCACTGATTTAATTTGACATCTCGGCAGTGGTGATAAATAGTTTTATTTCCAGAGTTTAAGATGTTAGATAGCCGGGTTCTTATGAAGCTGCTTGTTCTTAAATACGCGGCTGATTGAGAGATAATATTCATGTTTCCTTTCTAAAGCTATATGCAACCTGAGATTACCATCAGGTTTTCATGCTGACAGCCACAGGCACTGACTAGGTTTGCTTAATTCCTAACAAGTGCCGGTGAAGTAGCTGCGTCTCATCTACCCTCCTACTTACTCATTCTCTGTGTTTAGAAGAAAAACAATGGCAAACAAACCACTAGGCAGGTGAAGCTTCCTTATCTTGAAGATTGAATACCACACAGTTTCCTAGCAGAAGCCTGATTGCTGCTCAACGCAACCATCTGTGCTTTCCCAGAGGGGTGATCACCGCGGAAGACGGAGCAGAAAAATTAAATAGTGTGGCCGTGCACCCACCTGAGGTGAGGGCTTGCTGGAAGCCGGCGCCGGTGCAGTACGCCTCGATCACCTTCAGGATCTGAGCGTCTTCCTCCAGCGCAGCAGTACCTGGCAAACACAGGCAGCAGCTGGCACTGAAAGCAACTGCCCTGCTCCACGTGCCCCAGCGCTTGCTCCAAACTCCCCTCACTGACAACCTGTTACTGCCCTGCCTGACACTGTCTCTGCAAACCTGCCCAATTCCCTTCTCAGCTTCCTTTCCTCGGCATTTTCTGCCTCTGTGCTGTCCTGTGGCACTGCACACCGTGTCCTGTGGCACCGCACACTGTGACTGAGCGGTGGGAAAACCCTCTTCCCGCTGCCTGTCTCAGCAAGAGCCAGGGCTGCTTTGGCTGAGGGGGCACTGGGGACGGGCAGGCAGAGCAGCCCCCTGGCAGGGGTTCCCAGAGGAAATAAGTGCACCCAGGAGATGTGGTACCGAGCAGGGCTGGGAAGCGGCAAGGCCTCATTTCAAACTGCATCAGCACTGACTTCTTCACTGAGAAAACTGCCCTCCAGCTTTTGTACTGCAGCAGCTCACCAGGTGACCAAGGCTTTCACATAAAACCCACCAGAGGTTTCCCCAAAACGGACTGCAGGGAGGTGTCAGGATGACTTTCTTTGCAAGCGAGCACCTCCACACGGCTGAGACCTTTTCTGTTGCCTGGTGCCCTATGAAAATTGAGGCAGGACCTGGTGGCACAGAGAGATAAGAGCTTGTCCCAGCTCTCACCTTGCTCTCTCTGATGTCTACTACACTCTCCAGGATGCATTTCCACCACTGTTTGCTGATGTGCTTTTAATGCAGCTTTTAGCAGCTTGGAAGCTGCTCCCTGACTCCTTAGCCAGGACACTCCGTAGCCACCACTTCCAAACACCTCCCGTGAGCAGTGGCCTGCAAACTTCTCATATGTCTTATCATTTACTGCAAGAAGGGAGGCTCTCAAAGCCCCATGGAAGCTACTGAACAAACAGAAGAAACCTCAGCAAAGAACAGAAAATTTCAACACTTACTTTTCCTAATAACAAACTCTTCATCAGAAGCTTTTCTCTCAGTTTTCCTTTTTGGAAGAAACTTCTTCATTGTTTTTGGACTCTTGCTAGAATCCTACAGAGAAACAGACTCCTGTATTTAAACAGAACCAAAGGCAGCTTAAACAACGAAGGAGCAGCTTAGGCTGAACGCAGCTATCCACGTTATGCACGACACAAAAGGACTACAGAGCAGACGGTGACAAAGTTGGGGAAAAGGATGCTTTTTACTTTCCCCAGGTGCCACACAGGGGACCTCTGCTCCCTGCAATAGCAGCAGGAATTGCCCCTGCAGATCTGGGACATGACACAGTCCTTAGCCAATTCAACCCTTGACTAGCATCCTGAAACTAAAGAATTCAAAAACACTCCCAGCTCCTTTGGTCCCTTCATTAACCCTGTGGTATTTGTCAGAAAATCCTGCAGTAACGGTTATTTTCCTGACTCCATCTTTATTGCTAATATCAAACAGTCAATAAATGACATTATACTCTCAAATAAATTGTGTGCCTTTAGAAACAAACACCCCATCAAAATATATAGGGAATGAAAAAATAACACACAAAGTTAGTGTCTGCTATGACTCCACAAGCAAGAAACAAAAGCTTTTATCTCCTTCACTGGCCTATGGGTCTTGCCATTTGGACAGAATTAGTATATTAGTAGGTTGCATGCAATATAAGTCTAAGGAAACCCTTAAAAAAAGGCATAAACGCACAGAAATGCATGCCAGGAAGCTCAGTATCACAGTCCTAGTTTCTCTCTCAATATGCTTGCCGATCACAACTGACTCATGGCAGCATTCTGGTATTGCCAGGCACGGTTAGGGTGATGCAAGCAGGAGAAGCATGAGCGAGAGGAAGGAGCATTCTCTGCCACAAGAAGCCAAAGAGATGTATCTACTCTTACCTTTAAGATATAAGACATCCTCTACAATGAATATGCAAAGAAAGAGAAGATGAGTGTGAGAGGCTGATGATTTTATTGACCGAGTCCATTAAATCCACAGTTCTACAACACATTTAAATGTTAGTGCTGCGATTAATGCGTCACACCCTCTGGCCCGGTTTTAGAGCACTAGGGACATGCAGAGGAGCACGGTGTCATGCAAAACCCAGGGGTTACACGGGAAGGGCAGGGTGAGCGGGCGCTAACGCGCTCCGGAGGCGCCGGGCAGAGCGCAGGCTCCCCGGGAGCAGCAGCTCCTCGGAAGATGCTCTGGGAAAGGCAGCGGAGGGGAGGACGGCGGCACCCGCATCCCGCTGCGAGCCCAGGGCACAGCCCTGGCCAGGCTTGGGACATCCCGGGAAGCTCCAAGCGCCGCCATCGCCGGGACACAGGAGCCGGGCTGCTCTCCTGCACCTCTGGCAGGCAGAACTAGCAAATCCCCAAGCTCCAAACCCTTCCCCTAACGCCAAGCGGCTGGCTTCAAAAAAACACAGATGATCCCTTTTTTCTTCAAGCCTTTCTCACTTTGCTAACCTGCATCCAGAGACACTGCTCTACCCACAGCACCTGCTCTGTCATTTCAAATGATTACTGGAAACAGAACAGGAAAAATGACCCAATTTCAATGGAAATAACAGCAGTGAGGTGCGGTACGTAAGCAGGTTCTGGGGTTTCCTGAATACAGCAAGGTACAAGGAAACGCACATGACTGCCATCCCATCCTACACTACTAGAAGCCAATTAAAGCAACACTGGATGTCTGAAAATCTCTAATCTTTTAATCAAATTCCTCCACTCTCTTCCCTGGAAATAACTTTCGAAATTCATATTTAGCAGAGGTTCCTTCCAATCTCAACCATTCTGTGATTCTGTGGCTCTGATTTATTTTATCTTCATAATAAGGCTCCACTTGCAGTGTAGGGCCACTGAGTCCCATCCTACCGACCAGCAGCTGTGGCAAAACGACTGCAAGTCCGAGCCTAACGCAAGGGAAGCCTCTTCGCTATCTGGGGACTTTCTAGCCTCAGCTCTGCGGGCAGGGGATAATTGAGAAAGTGCAAAGGATTGTGGTGTTAATGATATCGCTCCATCTGTGGTTTTGGCCTACATTAAAAATAAATGCAGTCTTTCTACTGACACACAGAAAAACTTACCCTCAAGTCCCTTCCTATATTTTAATTCACCATGCAAACAAGAAGCTGTTTAGTTTACGTTACAGATTTAAAATATGCAAAGATTTTGGGTTTTTTTTGAGCAATTTCCAAAAGGAAAGGTATCATTTTAGGGATTTTGAGAGACAAGCAGAACGGGGCATCGCGACACGGCGCAGCAGCTCTGCCCGCAGCAGCAGGGGCTCGGGGCTGAGCCCCTCCGCGGCCGGCGCGCTCGGAGCCGCGGCGCTCCCAGGGCTGCGGCACCCGGCGAGGCGGCTGACTCAGACCCGGAGTGCGCTCTCAGCGGCACCGCTGAGTAAACCCAAGAGTTTAGCGTGAGGTAGGGAAGGAGAGCACTGCAGATACCGCAGGGGTTGAGAACGGGAGCTGGGGTTTATTTTGGGTTTCCCCACGTTGTGGCCGGGGGGCCTCCCACCTCCCAGGCGTGGGTTGCTGCAGGGGAAGCAATCCCGCGGGCTGCTGCATCCCAGCTGGCTGCATCCCAGCTGCATCCCCGGGAGCGGGGCGGACCACGACGGCAAAATCCACCCCCTGCATCTGCCTCCTATGGAGAGCTGGCCCAAAACCCTGAGGAAGGCCCCCAGTCCTGCAAACCCACATGCTCACGCTGCACTTGCAGCACAGAGCTGGCTGCAGGGACAAGCATCCCTCATGCACGTGTGCAGGACGGGGTATAACCCCGCGCAGTATTTCCTCTTAACATTCCCACTGACTAAGCAGCAAAAACACATCCATGGGAAAAGAAATCTGGGCACGACCGCTGGAGGCTGCCATGGAGTGATGTGCACGGGGCTTTACCTCTTTGTAACTCAGCGCGGCCGACGGCCTGAGTGGAGGAGCAGGACGGAGGCAGCTCAAGCTCCAGGGCTTGAGGATTTTGGGGGGCTCCAGCGGGCCACGAATCTGTCCAGCTGAACTAAATGTCTGAGAAAATAGGTAAGAAACAAGGAAAGCTGTTAGGCACCAAGTGAAGCATCCACACAGAGGGCCACAGAGAAAGGTTCGCTATGGACTTCTTTAAGACATGGAGGTTGCAACCAAAATAGGGCAGGACATAGAAAAATACTACAAGCAGCACTGTGTTTGTGAGCAACACAGTTACAAACAAAACTGCAGTGACGCAACTACAGCTGTATAAATTATCTCACTATCAAGGTGCATGGCAGAAAAAGAGAGACCAGCTGGTTCTGAGATGAAACAGGTAACGAGACAGGCTGGGGTGAATAACTCACTGAATGCGCGCTCCAGGACTGAGTTTTGGATATGACATTGCACGTCCCTTTGGTGAGCCTCTGCAAGTGGTCAAGCCATTCGTGCAAGTCCTGGCTGCTGCTGCAGGACACAGTGATCCGCTCCGTCATGTTCCCTGCAGCAAAGGGTTAAACAACAATCCTTAGCAAACGGCAGAGACCCAGCAAGAAACACCTGATCTGCTCAACTCATCATGACAGCAGGCAGCTCCTCAGTTTGCAGAGCCCAGTGGGTCCAGAAAGGCCAGTGCAAAGATATGACTGTTTTGGACACCCGGTCCCTAAAAGTATGGGAGCCACACAAAACAGCTATGGAGGTTTCCTCTAAAACATTTGAGGAATGAAAGTGTGCAATGTTGTTTAAATTTAAAATACGTAAATTCAGTAACTAACAGAGCCTTGACATCAAATAGCACCAGGCACAAAGTGCCACTGGGGGCATGCTCAGCCCTTGATGAAAGTGTCTCCCATAGGAAAGCTGCAGTCTCAGAGAGCAGCTGGGCACTACACAGGCTCCGTGGGGAAGCAGAGGCTGCAAACAGCAGGTACCTGGAGTGGCAGCTGCTCCTCACACTGAGGATGGCCCCACTGACCTGCGATTTCAAACGAGTGCTCGTTGCCTTCGGCGTCCTCCAGCTTGGTCAGCGTCATCCCTGTTAGAGGCAGCCTTCCCTGGGAGAATTGAGGAAGAGTCAGTGCCTGCATCTGCCTCCCAGGCAGCTCTTGTTTTCCTGTTTCTGCGGATTCCCTCTTTAGGATTTGCCATTAAAAACTAGTTTGTGAAGGCTTCAGAACACACAGAAAGCCTCCTTTAATTTATGGATCTCGATTTCCCTGCACAACTAGGTCAAACCCCCGAGAAGAGGCTCCCATGACAACTGAGTCATCCCTGGCTCATCTATCACCCTTGAAACTCGCTAGGTGCAGAGCCTTTTTACACAGCAGCTGGGACCATGAACTTCCCCTAGTTTTTCTGAAAGCCTCCCATGTCCCTCTGCTTTACATAGTGAACAGCCCACTCCCCTTACTTCCACTGCTGAACAAAATCTAAGCCCAGAAAAACTCTTCCCAAACTTTTCCTGCCTCCCTCATCAACCTTGCACACAACAAATGACGCATCAGCACAACAGCATCCTTTCCAGGATTCTTTCAAGGAATTAGAGTCAGAGAAGCTCCAAACAGCCTGACTGCAGTTATTTGGGAAGGTGGGACACAAAAACATGCATCATTTAGGCTGTCTCATACAGCAGAAATTTTGCCTGTTGACAGTGTCCCTTGAAATAGTGGAATATCTTCCAGAACCAGCACAACGCTGACAGTCAGCTGGCTGCTCATGCAGAGCAAAATCCTACAGCTGGGTCACGACTCCTTACACACACATAATTCTTGAGAACAGCATGTAGGGCAACAGCAGGGTTTAGTTTGATTTTTTTTCTCTTTTTTTCTAATTCCATAGCGCTCACACTTACCACAAGCTGTCTAACTGGCTGGCAGGACACAGGTGCTCTCAGCGAGTGCCCTGGCACGCATGGTAAAAGCGAGTCCTGCTGCCTTAGCACAGAGCATCAGCACCGCAGCCCAGAGATTTGAGGAAGCAGAGGATTTGAACTTTGCAAGAGATACCCGATTTCCTTTTTCACACCTAGCACCTTCACATGAAGCAGGCCTACCTGATAGATGAACCCGCTCATCCGTGGGCTTGCAGACAGCATGAGCAGAACGTTTGCAAACAGCAACAAGTAGCGCTCCTCTCTCTCCTGCGGGCACAGGAATCAAGGTCAGGGCCTTTTGCAGCCTCTTGCGAGTCCTCGCCCGCAGCAAGGGCAACTTGTGTCAGCATCACAGCCTTAGAGGCACCAACATCCCAACCGATTACTTGGGCTCATTTTCTGTGCAGCATTGCTTTTCTGCATTAACTGCACTACTTTTTTTTTTATTATTTATTATTATTATTATTCTCCTCCAAGGGAGCCTATAAACATTTTTGTTTGCAGCCTGCTAATGCTAAAGATATTACTGACTGCTAAAGATATTATTGACTTTGCCAATCATTTAAATATGCCTTAGAAAACCTTGTTTCCCAACATTTCACATCCCAAATGAGCAAAAAGGACTAGAAATTAACAGGTTCTTTAACACATTTTCCTTCCCAGAGGAAATTGCCATAGCAAGGATACAACCCAGTGACAACAGGTCCCGTGTAGTAAACACTCAAAACACGCAGTGTTCATGGGTTTAATCCTACAGAAAGGTTATCTGCTAAGAACATATACATGATGCTTCAGGACCAGCATTTGCTCTTGTACTGCAGGAATCCCTCCAGCCATTTCCACAGCACAGTCAGCTCTGGGGTGGGACCTCACAGCAGCTGCCAGGCTGGGCACAGGACCTTGCAAAATGCTTACACTAATGCACCCTTGAAAGTCCCACTGTACACTACTCACATAGATAAAATTCAGTGTTATTTGTCAGCACCGTGCCACCCTGGGGTCAGAATAGCTGTCACCTTGCACAGCTGGTCCCAAGAGCAAGCCAGGATCTATTTTCCCCAGGAGAAGGAAGGACCATTGCACTTACCTCACTTCCCCCGCACTGTACCATAACCTGGGACATGTAGATGATGCTTCCCATTGTTTTGATGTCCTCTCCCTCCCAGCGCTGGATGGATTCTGAGAGGATCTGCAGCTCCAGTTGTTTCCTCTTCCGCAGCTCCTGGCACTGGCACTGGAAATCACAGCAGCAGCACTTTTTATTAACAGAAGAGCAGACTCAAACCCAGAGCATCCTCATGAAGAGTCTCCAGCCCTGTCCTTGGCCTGACAGCTTTAGCCAAAGGGGCTCGGTGCTGAGCACACCCAGGGATCGCAGCACAAGCAGAATTTGCTTGCAGGGCTCAAAACATTAGCCCTGAAGAGACCCATGGCATATAGAGATCCACGGTCATATACTCCACATAACATACAACTGGGCCTATCATTTTGCAAAAATTGCACTACCTTTGCACCAGGAAAGCTTGCATGGAAGCCTGCTTTGACTCTGTTACACGAAGTTTGTTTAAAATCACATCTTAGCAAAGTCACAAATCCACAAAATGTCAAAGAAATTGCAAACTGCACCGAGCAAGCTTTTCTTTCCAAACCAGTTCTGTCTTTGAGAGAATAGGATTGCATTTTCTAAACCAAGACAGCCACTAATTTAAATGCTACTAATTTTGCGCTTCCAAAACCTAAACTGGGATCTTGGCACAATACTGCAGCAGTGCAGTGGAGCAGGACAAAAGGCAGCTTTGGAAGCTAGCTCAATTCATAAGAGTCCTCCAGTTTGTAGCAGTTCTGGGTTGCTCTTCCAGCAACTTCCAGCCAACAGAGGACAGTGCTGACTAAGCAGAGATGACCTGCAAATCCCTGCAAATTTTGCTATAACTGACCATTCTGCCAACAGGGAAAATCGCAGCAGGGCGAAGCCTGAGCTGAGTTTTCACCTACTGAGTTTACAGGCACAAACTGATAAAAAAAAATCCACAATGATCCATCACAATCTGCAGAGCAGGCATCACTGCAAGCCACATGGCTCTGCTCAAGCTGTGGTTCTGCAGTAACATCTGCCGGGACTGCGTCCAGGAGCCTCTCTGATCCCAGCCCCCTGGGAGTCACGTGTGTTGCAGAAGGCATTTCCACCATCTCAACTCAAATCCAGAGTGAACCCCTTTAGCTACATCACAATTACATTAACTTGCTAAGCGCCCAAGTACAAGTTCCAAGTAAAAATCCCTACCATTGACAAGCATTTCTAAAGATTAATGACATCTTACAACTTAACTGAATTATTCCCCTATTATCTACTAGAATAAATGGAAAGGGAGTGGAGTTTCTAAGTAAATGTAACACAATCGCCCTTTCCTGTTTTCTATGAACTTTCTCCTCCCCATCTTTTATCTACACAGCTAAGTACCAAAAACTTGCATCTGCTCTGCTAAGGAAGGAAGTTGGACCACATCTGGAGTGGTTATAGTGAAAGGTATTTAGTGGCTACAAAGAGAGAGAACATAGAGCATCTTAATAACCAAAGAAAGACTTCTCCAAGTAAAACATTTGTGCGTGTGGATAGCTTTTCCCCATCTTCTGCATCTCATTGCAAAGGGACTCGGAGGAGTGCAGGTAACTCAGCTCACTGAAACAGGCTCAGGTCTTGCTCTCTGACTCATGCCCTGATGTTTGTGCAGGTCGTTCCATTTGCTGCCGATGACCTGGGCACCTGCAGTGACAAACACCTGCGAGGCAGCCCAAGTCTGCTGATGCCCATGGAACAAATCTCTGCAAAATCAACTGCCACTCAGTGGCCTCGGGGGAGGCCTTTTCCCTGCCCCAACGGTTGAGTCAGACACCAGCGTTAACCTTTTCACAGCTCATCTGAATGAGCAAGGGCTGCTACGGTTCCATGTGGCAAATGCCAAGGGGATGGAGGTAAGAGGAGATGAAAGGGGCCCTGCCACCAGCACTGCCCACACATGGCTTTCTGCTGCAGTGCACAGAGCAGCGAGAGATCCTCTGCCGCAGGGATCACAGAGCCAGCGTGCCACTGCTGGAACGTGCAACCAAAGAGGCCACTCTGGGCTTGAACCTTGAAATTAAAGTACTCTTTATAAACCATCTTTTCCATTTCAAAAGATTTTTTTTAAACTAGGAGACAAATGTCAAACTTGACTCATCCTTTGTGAAACGCAGCCCTGAGATGGAGTGCTCTATTTTAAGAATCGCCACCTACCACAAGAGACTTGAAGGATGTGACTGCTTTCAAAACCTCTTCGTGATCTGCATGCGCCTCCTAGTGAAAGGAAAGGAAAAATCTCTGAGCCATGAGCAGTAACAGCCCAGAGAAGTGCAGAACTGCCCCAGGCACCCAGGGCTTCAGAAGAAGCAGGAGTCAGGCTGTAGACAATCAGGACAGCAGAAGGGGACAAGAATCCCCCTGGTCCCAGACTTGGCTTCCTCACCAACCTGTTCAGCTTAACTCAACCACATGCTGCTACTCTCCTGAAACCTTGTCCTGCTGGTCTAGGGCCCTACAGCATAAGCTCTTCACCATGCAGAGCTTGTGCCCAGCAGCCACACAAACCACCAGGAGCCCGGACAACGACAGAGATGTCCCTGTTGCTGTCAGAGGACGTCTGGTGCCACTTGCCCCTCAATCCTGGATGAGGGCCCAAGTCCTTCATGCTGGAACTGGTGCATCTTGCATGAAGGACTCAGGTGCAGAGCTGGCACTGCCTCCCACAGATCCCCCTCCCCACCCTCCATTGCTTTCCTATTTTTAAGCTGAACGTTTCCTATGCAGGTGTGACTGCCCTTTCCCTCCCAAGCAATTCCAAGGCATGGTGCTCAAGTGCTAGAGGAAGGTGCAGAGCCGCCTCATGTCCCCAGGGGCTGGCTCCTGCAGCACCAAGGGCCACGGCAGGCCCCACGCCGCCTACCTCCATGTGCCGCTCCAGCTCCTGCAGAAGCGTCACGTACTTGTCGAGCCGCATGAAGGGCTTGCTCAGGCTGGTGGTCAGGATGAGGATGCCTGGGTTGGCCGCACCCTGGCTCTCCATAAACTTCTCCAGCTCATCACTACAAAGAGAGACAAGCATGAGAGCTCGCCACTGCCGAGGGCTCTGCTCTGCTGCCTCCCACGCTCTCCCGATGAGCGATCCTGTTTTAAAAGCAGCTCAAAGCCCTGTCCAGGGACTGCCCAGCTGCAAACCTGACCGGCCAAGCAAGGAGCAGAGAGCTCAGGGCTGGGCAGGACCAAGGCTCCTTGGAGGCTGCAGAGGGTGATGTGCAGCAGCTGCTCCTGGCGCCTGCAGTGCCCGGGGCCACACTGGTGGCAACAGTCAGACCCCCAGCACAATGAGGTGGCACCTGGGCTGCAGGCCCTCGTGCTGCGCTGCAGGATGTCACAGCATGGAGCTGCTGGGGCACAGGGACCGCGCTGGGAGCAGCGAGGCCAGCGGCAGGCCTCACACAGCCCTGGGAAACGCGGCTCGCGCACGGCTGCACGTTGCCAAAACTGATTGTTTGCTTGAGTTAAGAAAAGGGCTCGGACTAATGAGCCGAATCAGTGAGTCATTTACAGGAGCCAGGCTTTTCATTAGGCTGAATTAAAGTTAGATTTCAGCAGGTGGGTAAATACATTGCAAGCTTCCATTACAGGAAGGGAAGAATTAAACAGTGTGGCTGCAGTCCTGGCTTTCCCATCTCCGTGGGAAGGACAGCTAAACTGCATTAGACATGACATAATTGTAGCTTTTCAGCTTAGCAGACTCTTTAGCATGACATTACCCAAATTCAGGTGTCTGCTCAGGCAGCACACATGAAAGGAAGATGCTATTACAGCAATGTACCAAACACCCCTGAGAACAACTGGCTTGTTGAACAGCAGCTCAAAATTATCAGAATTGGATAATTCCAGGAAATTTCTTAGCATCTTCCATTTGCAGAATGGAATGTGCTCCGTACCATAGTGCCATATGTAGGAAAACATACTCCCATCTGCAAGAATTTGAGCATTTCGGCATCAGGGCTGAAACAGCATCTGGGTCCTTAAGCAAGGAACAGTTGGAGGAGATGCTGCTGCACGGGCTGAGCGAGGCAAACAGGAGTTTCCTCTGTTTTACCCATTGTACGAGAGTCTTGCACATACAGACTGAACCTGTGAGCCCAGCTCTGAACACTGATGTCACAGATCTGTGAACAGCACAGCTCCATGAGCAGAATGAAGCTGCCAGAGCTGTCTTCACCATGCTGAAGCCGAGGGGCAAGAGACCAAAGCCCCAGGCCTCTTCCCAGCTGCAGGATCCCTGTTATCTCCACACCCTGTTGCCAAGATCCTGAACAAAAGCCACGATGGCCACATACCAACAACGTAAGTAACCTTTTAAAGGGGGAAACTCCATCCCAGGCTCCTTCTCCATCACCCACCTGTGCTGCGTGAGGACGCTGACTGCAGACGGGTGGTTCGCACAGTACGTCAGGTACAGGGAGCGGAACTGGGGCATCAGGTTCATGAAACAGCCTCCCACTCGCTGCTGGTTCTCAGGGAGCCTACGAGCACCAACACACCAACCATCACACCAAGGCTCTTGACTCGTCTCCCAGCCTCCCTGGCGGAGTATTATTACCTGTGGTAATTTCCTCTCTTTCCTCTGACAATCCCCACCGCCGTGCCCGTTAGATCTCCCACCCTGCCCATGTCTGTGTCTTCAGGCTTGTGGCACTTCTGCATCGTGTATTTCAGCAGACACCTTAGCAGCAGAAAGGGCAAATTCCTCCTGCTTTCCCTCCTGTCAAAGCACTACCTCCTGCCTTTCTTCCATCCTGTTATTTTCTTCTATAATACAACAAGCCTAAGACAGCAGCCAGGATGAATGTTAACGAGTGGGTCTTTCTATTATTTTTAGACACAGTCTAATAGCTTAACACCCCCAGTGCCATGGCAGGAGCTTACTTTGCAACTTCTTCCAAGGCTTGGTTCAGTGTTTGCTGAAATGCAGAGATTTCTTCCACATTTCCCAATAATGACGCGATGTCCACGGCACTGAGCCTAAAAGGGTAAAATCACAATTAGCATCAAAGAGATGCTGTGAGCAGACCTTTCAGGAGGATCCTCACAGCACCTGTGAGCTGTCCTTTCAAAAGGGCCCAGAAATTTCTGTTTCCCCCAGACACACCACTGAACACGATAAAACACCAAAATCCATGATCTGTGAGCTACAGAGCACAACCTCCCGCAGAAGATGTCTGCTGTCAAGGATTAACTTAATTGGATTTTAATCACACTAATCTTCCCAGATATTTAGCTGTCTAATAGGCACAGACAGATGGGATTTCTTAAAGAGGTGGGCAGGGAGATGTGTGCACAGACACAGGGACAGCTTTGTCTTCACAGATTCATGCCGTGGGTTTTCCTATGCGAGGAGGCTCTAATGCGGCCCCTCATTAGAGGCTGTTCTGTTCCACGTGTAACGCTGTTTTTTGCCTAGGCGAAGGCAATGCCCTCACTCCTGTCACCCTCAGAGCCCAACGCCTCACTGTCACTGCCTCGCAATCCGCACGCAAGCGATTTGCTGCCTGCGGGGCAGCTAGGCTGAGAGGAGGAGAATTTTCCATAGTGGAAGATATCTCATGTGAAGATTTGGGGAAGGAAGGACAGATTCAAGCTGACAGGCCTTAAGACGTGGCTGTCCCTTCTCTCCAGGGTGGCGGATGTCTGAACATCTGCCTGCGCCCGCGATGCCCTGGGGCTCCTGCCCCAGCACTGCCGCAGGCTGCACGGCCAGGGCTGTCACACTGGGCACCTCTGGGACAGACAACTGCAAAGCTGAGGTGAAAGCACGGTGAAAAGCTCCTGCACTGAGTATTCTGGACATACTGACTCTCCCGGTGCACTTCTGTGGATATGCAGACTATCATCATCTGGGGGAAGCAGGATGCAATCCCATGGACGTGACTGGGTGCGTGCTGGCTCCCAAGCACGCTCGTGAGCACTGATGGAAAACATAATGACCTAGTGCCATGGGGAAACCTAGACAAAGGCACTCGGTTGTCCAAATGCCTGCTCTGCTCCAAGGGGAATGGCAGCATGCTCTTTCTGAACAAGGGGACACTTTAAGCAGATCACAATACAGGCGGGGAGAGAGGGGACTCTTTTCTTGCTCAGCAGCAGTACAGACCAAGCGAGCAGCAAGCTAACCAGAGAGCAAAAACCTCCTGGCTGGCTCACTGAAGAGATGACTGTGCGATGCCACTTGGGGCTGAGAAGTCACGACAAGACACATTAGGAGGGAAGAAGCCATGCAAGGCACGCCACCAGGAAACATGCATGCCAGGACAGTCACAGATGAGCTTGCAGATGAATCGTAACAGCCAGCAATCTAGCTAAAAGAAATGCCCATCTCGAACACAGCTGAATGCCTGCACGACCACTGAGGAATAGGGAAGAGCAGAAACCTGCACAGAGTCTTTTTTCTTGTTCACAGAGAAGTTCTAAGGCTTTACAAGAGCAGTAACAGGTCCTAAACATTTAAAGGTGGAAAAGTAATGAACTATGGTCAATTTACAGGGTTCTGTCCATCTCAGATGTCCTTATATCTTACTTATCATAAGACTGGAGGGGTCTTAAGTAAGTTCCCAGAAGTGACTGGAGTTCCTTCGCATAATCTCGTTCTGTTTCCAGAATATTTTGCAACACCTAGGGTAAGAGACAGAGCACCGAGTAGATCTTAGTACTAGTGACTAGTTACAGGAATATGACATCAGCTTCCAAGAACGGGGCAACCACGGAAACGTACGTTAACAAATGTAAATGCATTTATGGACTTAACGCAGAACCCAGAATGCTCAGAAAAGCCCTAGGGATCCAATTTATGGACTTCACTTTGCAAACCAGGGGAGTCCTAGAAAACGGGTGTTAAGGGCTGCTCCTTCTTCTCCGGCAAAGCATGAAGACAATGTGAATTCAGATTCGAGGTTTGTATTTGACCACCAAAAGGTTCATGCCTAACCCTGCATGCGTAACTAGCTGCCAAGGAATGCAAACAAATGACCTGTGCATGCATCCCGGGACCGCCGTCTGCGCGGAGGCAGGCAACCATTTAAATGCAACAGTAGCCAGAACGAAGACGGCTCCTGTGACGGCTCAAGCCAGAGCACAGCTCACTTGCCACTTTGAGGAAGTGCTGAGTCCAGTTTGGTCCTGCTAATCCAGCTCAGCAGCGAGGTCATCTCCAGCAACAGGGTAGCTGAACCCACTGCCTTTGAGGTCTCGAGTTTCACACTATTGATGGGGCTTTGGAGACAGTGGAGGCGGTTCCCAACTTTCTGGGCACGTTGTTCCCACTTTGCTTTCTTTCAAAACATATTCTGACATGCTGATGAACACGTTTCACCTCTGGAGCTGAGAGCCAGGCATGTTTCTGCAGGCATTTTAGCTCTCTTGCACCAAACAGGCTTACTCTAAGCTGGACACAGCAGGAAGGCACCTGCCCCGCTTTGCCAGACGTTACTGCTCCTGAAGCAGGGGGGTAGATGTTCCTCTAGCCCTCCTGCTGCTGCAGGTCGGAGCCTGGCATGTTGACCTGCTCCAGAAGGAGCCCCAGTGAAGAGCTCAGGCTGTGACCTGCAGCAGAAGCCCCTTCTCCAAGGGCTGTAACTCCTGGCAAAGCACGGGGTAGACAGCTCGGGGTGCAACAGCTCCAGTCCCCACGGCTAAAGCAAAGGAGGGGATCGTGGCCCAGAGCTCTGTTTTGGCTTGCTTTGCTCTGTGACACAATTCATTAACTCCCCATCTTTATCAGAGGAAGATAACTGACATTCAAAGGAAAAGACTGGAACGGAAACATAATGACTTGTTCTCCAACACTGATCTCAAAACTGCTGCGTTCTCAGTTGTCTACTTCAAGCTCTCCTTTAGACATCTTGCAGCATCTTCCATTTGGGGTTTATCATATTGACAACCCGGTAAGTACCCCGAGTCAAGGAAATGGCAACAGCTGCATTTAAATACAGAGTCACATTCCCGATTGTTACAAATTGCTTTAGTGATTTCTAAGGGAAGGAGCCAGTTCAGAAGATTAATAACATGCTACTTATTAAAATGTATGATCAGCGCTTTAAAACTTACCACAGGGTAATAATTCTTCGTCAGCTGAGTGCTTTCAAGTCCTTTTAATGCTTTGGGAGAGAGTGGTTTATCTGTACAAAGAAATACATCAATAAATCATATTGCAGAACCCCCATTATCCTACAGGAAAGTCGCCGCTGTAGCGTGTCCACCAGACTGAAGGGAAAAAAAAAAACCACACAGAAAAACCCTCCACCTCTGTAAACACAGAAGTTCAACTGCAGGGCTTGTGTGTCTGCTTTTCCAGAATTGGGAGCAAACTGAGGGCATAAACGACACGGGCACCAGCCCACGTCCAATGTGCTATACAAGGGCTTTTGCTCCAGGCAGCTCGCAGGTATTTATCATTCCTCCAGACTCACTCGGGTCCGTGGTGCAAGGCCCTGCATGCAGGTCCTGAACACAGGAACCCAGCTCCTGACCCTGAACACAGCTCGCACTCTGCGGGCAAGGGGTCTGCATGGAAGGAGCCCCAAAGTCGCCACACAGGGCAACCAGGCACCTCTTCTGCCCTGCATTCGCGCTACGGCTGCTGGAAGGCAATTACTTACACACCGATAGCAGGGGAGAAGCTGAAGTTGATAAATTTAGCCCCTGGCAACCACAGCTTGATGGATTTTCTAATTCTTGCCCTTGTGGAGCTTCCTGTGGCTTCCTTCCCCCTCGGAGGGGAGGCTCCGGAGGGCAGCGATGTGGTGGGACGGGGACGTGGGAGCAGCAGAATGGGAATGCTGGAATGCTACATGGGGACACAGTCCCCTGTCCATCCCGCAGCAAGCGGACACTGTTTGCTGGCTTTTCACCCTGGAGGAATGAACCCTCCTGTCACATGAGGTGGCAGGAAGAGCGCTGGTCACGCAGCCTCGGTACTGGAGGGCACAGGGCTTTGGAGATGCAAAAATCCAGTGGGTGCCCACCAGGAGCAGTGGGAGAAGCATCCTCTGCTTCCCCAAGGCGCTGCCGTTTCGCGAACACCCACCTGACTCGCCCCATGGGAGCAGCGTTTTCAAGACGCTTCCCCTCTCCACTCGCTGACTTAGTCACTGAGGGGCTGTGCCAAATGAGCCTTCCAACTGCGCGCGACATCCGGCTCAGACATCATTTCCCAGAGGAAAACAGTGGGAGATGAGATAGTCTAACAATGATTTTCCTTTTCATTTAGGTTGAAATAAAACCTGGCCTAATTCCGCATGATCCCTCATTAATTTTATTCTCCCCTGTTTTGCTTTTTTGCTTCCAAGCATGGAAGCAAGAGTTGTGAATTCCGCATTCGCTTTGCAGAGCACTCCCAACGCCTCGCAGCGTTGGAAGACTGGGCGATCCTGACCCATAAGCAAGCACCTGGCACGCAAGGGTTCTCTGTTGAGTGCAAACGCTCCAGGCAAATGAGGAGATTAAAGCTGGATGTTTTAAAAAACAGCTTTACTACCCCTCAGTGGTCTGAGAAACCCAGCTGGGTGAGTGGTTTGAGTGGATGTGGCCACCACAGGGCAGGTAGCCAGGGGAATCACCCACATCATCACCACTGCACCTCTGGTTAAAAGCATCTCTCAAAATGCTACAAAAGCTTGAGACAAAAGTGCAATGAAGGCAAATGTCTTCAGACCCATCGCTCCCTCCCTCTTCTTTTCTCAACAGTGCCTGCAGCTTCACAGCAGAAGATGCATCTGGAGGGAAAATGCACTCTGTGAAATCAACCATAGCTACACAAGAAAACAGGGAATTGTTCCCTATGGCCATATAGTTTTTGTTGGCTTATTCGTGGAGATCACAAGCATTCATTCTGCCACTGCCAGAAATGGCAGGACCAGAGCCAAAAAACAGCCCACAAAGGCCTTAAACAAAAGGTAATTCTGTGCTTAGCAGCTGGAAAGATGCGATAGTTCCCCACGACAAAGGGCAGGCCCACAAAGCCATCTCCATCCGTGTTCCCAGTGCCGGGAGCTGCCCCTGCTCCCGCACGGTGCTCCTGTCTGGACACAGCATCAGACACGCAGCGCTGCGGAACAGGGAGAGCTCCCAAACAAGCCATGCGAAAGGAGACGCTTCCTCCTTCTGGTCCCATTCATGCTTCCATTTACACTCTTGCTTTGAGCACACTAACAGTCCTTAATAAATAGCAGCAATTTCCCAAAGGCATCAGGATCTGCTCTGCATTATACTGCTGTCATTCTATCAGCCCTCGAAGGCAATTTGCTTACCGGAGGATTTGATTTCTCTGACGTAGTTGCTTGGGAACCAGCCTGTTTTTCCATTGAGCGTCCCTTCCCACCAGCCCCCTTCTTCAACTCGGGTAACATAAATAATGTCTCCTTTGTTAACAGAGAGCTCATCCTCGTTGGTCTGCTTAAAATTGAACCTGGCCTTTACCACCAGCTGATGACTGCCATTCTCGGTCATCTCCTATGGAAAGGAACATGGAAAACATTAGCAAAGAACCCAAAAGGTAAAGCAGAAGCACATGGACCAGCCACTGTTGTTACAGCTGGCTTTTCAGTATTGCATTTTTTAACATCAATAGCATTCTTGTTCTTGTTTAAGCACTCCCATGAGAGGTTCACAAGGTCCCTCCCAAATATTAAGTTTCATAGTGCACTGGAAGGCAGATTAGCATGGTGCTCCTCATCTCAGAGAGGATCACCAAAGCTTGGAGAAGCTGTGAGACAACCTCTCTGGCTGTCTGGAGCTGGAGCACCAAAGCCACGATGGAGCCAAGGGCAGAACACAAGTCATTTTGGCAGGTTTGGCCAACAGGCACCACTTGCACCCCTCAAACCCTTGATTAGATTTTAAATAAAGGTTACCACAGGCTTGGACTGTCTCCTTAACACCCGTGCAGACCGTGAAGCTGTGCCGTTGGAGTTAGCGTGGGGATCTTCAGCTGCGGAGCTACGGGATGATAGCTGAGAGCATGGTCTTGTTGACGGCTGATCTGGTGAGGTAAAAACAAAGCCTGTGCTTTACCCCACTGTCCACGTTCAGTGGACTCAAAGGACACTCAGACAACACAAGGGCTGAAGGAGCATCTAACAGAGCAACAGAGCCGGTGCATCTCCCACGCGGGCAGCCCTCACGGGCAGTGAGGATGGTTGTGCAGAGCTGGCTGTTTTGCCGGCTCTCCCACAGTGGAATAAGCTGAACTGCACCTCAAGGACCCCTGGGTTATTCCAGTCCTACAGCCACTGAGCCGGTGGCAGTATTTTTCTGGAAATCCACCCCAAAACAGCTGAGAACCAGGGGGAACTAGCCCCTCAATGCCACCGGGACCCAGGCTAGCTCTGCTGGAGCTGTTTCACAAGTTAGCTCCCACGGGAGCATGCCAGGTCACCTCTGCAGCTGGTGGAGCTTCCTGGCAGCGCGGGAAGGGCGCTGAGCAGCTGCCCAACACACCCGCTTCCCTATTTAGACCAGTCCTCCAGGCTCATTATACAGCTGGAAAAGGCAAGGCACAATTTTGATTGCTGCTCGTGGACCGCTGCCATTAACCATGCGAGTAAAGGGTGCAGATTACGCGGAGGAAGGACAAGAGCGTCACCCTCAGAGAGTGGCAGCTCACAGCACGGACCCAACCTCCCCAGGCCCTCGAGGAGCCGCTGCCCTCATAGAGTCAATGCTCCCTGCCCTGCAGGCCAGGCCCTGGGCCTGACCCCACACGCCTGGTGCTGGAGACGATGACGACGCTCTGACACACATTTCTGCTTCACAATCAGCGATGTGTGTCTATGTTGCTACTGAAAAACTTGCTGGATGGTAAAAAAAAAACTTCCTGGCCACAACTGCCTTGAGCTGAGACCGTATCGGGGCCTCAGCACAAAAAGCAGCATCAGCTGCTACAGGACCTCCGGCCACTCACCCCAGAAATCTGCTTGGATGCTGCGTCCTCTGCTACTGCCTCTCATGTCACACTGCGGAAAAGCAATCGGATCATCCCCATTCCTCTGTGCCATCATGCACAAACAAAGCAAAGGCGACTATTATCACTTCAGTAAACTGTCAAGTGTGGTTAGAGATCTTCTCTGTGTCTTCTTTTGCAGTTCAAGAACATTTCTGTGTTGCCAAGAACTTGCTTTCTGTCTGTGCAGCAGACCCAGTCTGCCCACGAACCACCCACAGAAGCCTGGGGAGGGCAGACCCCTGTCCACTGGCTTCAGTAGTCTGGGAGTGCAGCTCCCCTGTAAAACACAGGGTCCTTCTGTGGAAGCTTTGCACCAGGACAAGGCGATGAAGCTCCCTCCGGAGGGGCCACCGCCGTGTGTGTGCAGCAACTAGCAAGCACAGCCTGCTGCGTGCCCGATATCCTCCAGTCTCAGCACCAAGATGGAATAAACATCCCAAAAGGGAAGTTTGGTGGGAGTTGCAGGAACTCAGCCAGGCCCTTTCTTCTCCCCAGAGGATGGCTGCTTAAACAGAAAAACATCTGGGCCTTGCACTGGACGAGGAGCGCCACAAAGCGCAGCTCCTTGGGAGGGGGCTGCCTCTTGCTCTGCCCTCTCCAACGCCTCGCACGAGGACAGACCAGGTCCCTGCTGCCTTCCAACCCAGCCGCCGCCCCTGCCCGTGTGCCCAGAGGGGACGGCACTCACGCCAAGTCACCGAGTCACTTGGGTCTCTCGCCCGGCGACCGCGCAGCAGAGTCTCCGCTCTCTGAACCGCAGCAGCAAGAGCAAAACCACTGTGCAAAAAGCGCAGAAATCCCACTTTGCAAACACATTTTTTTCCCTCTGAAGCATCCTGCTATTTGAGCAGGAGTGGTTTCAGCTGTTCCCAGCGCCTCGCAGGCCAGGAGGGGTGGACAGCTGCCAGTTTGAGACGTTCTTCCCTCGATTTGCTCTAAAAAGGGAGGGCGTAAACCGCGAGTCTAGACTTCGCCGCTTATTCCAGCAGTGAGCAACAGCCCCACGGAAATGACTTGGTTACTGTAGATTTGATGCTTCTCCCCACCCCTCCCTATCTCCCAGAGCTTTTATAAATATCCGCAGCAACCTAGAAACAAATGTAAAACTGCCTTTGACAGTTTGGCAGGGAAGCATATCATTTATATTGCATCATGACAGCGCCCTATTTTATGCCTGGTCCAGCAAAGAAGGCTGCTGCCATATGTTGTTTCAACTATGGTTAAAATAGCTGGGTTTTCTGTTCACATTCTTACAGTATTTGAGGCAGACCAGCCCAGCCTCATCCACGGTGGCTGCGCTTCCTCTCCTGCGGATAAAAGCACCGAGTTCTGTATTGCTGGTGGTTGACAGACAGCTGCTGAGTTTATATATTAGAAAAGATGCTCCCAGTTATTTGCATAACAGGATCCGTGAAGACACAAGGACTTGGGCTTCAAATGGATGCTCAGAAAGACACTGTCACCTCACTTCCTAAGCTGTCACCTACTTGTCTGCCTCCCACGAGGGCCTCGGGATGCCATGGTGCCAGAGGCAGGGGCTGTGGGATATGGGATACGATGCTGGAAGCAGCTGGAAACAGAGAGTTAGTGCAGCGGCAAAGGGATCCCGGCGGGAAAGGAGCAGCTCATTCCCAGGTACCTCCAGGACCAGCTTCCCTTCCCAGTGCTGCTCCCCCAGCTCGGGTGGTCCTGCTCCGGGCACAGGCGGAGAAGGGGAGAGTAGGAGGTTTGATCCCGACAGTGCCTTCGGCCTCTCCGTCGGGAGGGACCATCCGGGCCGGCTGCAGCTGTGGTTTGTAGGGCAGAGGCTCCTGCTCCTCAGGAACTTGGCCAAGCCACCGAAAAGGCAAGCGCTCCAGACATGCAGTGTTTTCACCCTGTACTTTCCCCAAGGGTGCTCGCTGTCTGAGCGGCTAATTATATCGCAGGCACTGCGCTTTTTAACATTTAAACAGAGCAAGCATATGTTTAAGCAGATGTTTGCCATGAAACCGGGAGGATCCCAGTTTTCCTATAGCCCCTGCGGTAACGTGTGATAGAAACTATGGCACAGCAAAGCTGTGTCTTGAGCTGAGAAACACAGACCTGTGCAGGAAACAGCCCCGGGGAGTCTGCAGCAACGGCACGGCGGCCTGGCCGTCCCATCGCCTCCTATCCCTTCCGCTTCCAGGAAAATGGAGCTAACACCATAATTACATCGTTTGCAACGGCTGGCTAGGGAATCTGCATTTTACATCCCCATCGCACTGAAATTCAAGTATCTTCTGAATCGGGTCACTGGAAATTGTCATTTAATGGAGCAGTGAGAGGCTTCAAGAAGAGGTGCCTGGTCTAAAATCCCAGCATGGACTTCTCAGGTCTACGAATCTGCGTTTCTTTACAGCAGAATTCAGCAACTCTCATGCGTGTCTGCATACACATGGGTACATAATATATATATATGCTGTTTGCATTTATGTAATGCAAAATACAGGATTCATATATACAAATATATGTACACATCCACGCACAAATGTGTGTGAGGTGATACAAAACAGCAGAATAGAAAAGAGAAAAAAAAGGGAAGGGGATTCATTTCCAGTAATAAGATTAATTGAACAGCTGAGCAGCTTTCTGCCAGCAGAATAGAATCCAAAAGCAAAAGCTAACTAAAAAAACAAAGAATTGAAATGACTGAGAAAACAGCTACAAATCAAAAAGAGGAAAAATGCAGTAAGCAATGGAGGATCTTTCCTATGGGGGAAAAAAAAAGGGGGGGTGTGTTTGAGGGAGGCAGGGGTGACTTCTACTTTTAATCTCCAAAAATGCCGTTTACAGCAGCTCTGATCCCGATCTTGAATTGTGGATAACACAGGACTCTTCACATAAATCCGCCTATATGACGGGGATCCTAAATGCTACCCCCACCACACTTGTTTCAGATGAACGTGGACCTCCTCGGTCCCCCATTCAAGACACCCCAGTCCTGGCAAGCCTTCCCAGAACACTACATCGCTGTGATTTCCTCAGGCCAGCACAAAAGCAGGGAACTCTCTATAAAAATACACAAAATCTCATCAAGCTCCCTATCGACTTCTCCCCTTCAGAGCCCATTTCACTGAACACGAGCACAGAGCAAGATGTACAGTAGAGCTACATGTTTAGCAAAGGGGAAAATCAAAGGACAGGGCTGCTGTGCTTTGCTTTGGCAGCCTGCTCCGCACGACGCGGAGCGGGACAAGTCACCAGCAGCAACTGTCAGCATTTGATTCCCAATTACGCGAGTCCGGCTCCGCAGCGCAAGGGAGAGGGAAGGAAGAAATATCAATACAATTGCCGGAGCATCTGCCGGCTATGGGTGTTTTGACATGCAGTAGATTTCACACAGATGGACCTATTTTTCTGTTCTGCTTTAAAAGGTACTATTTAAAATCAGATATTAGCATCTGGGGAGGTGCATGCTCATCTATATGCAGGCTCCTTGGCGATGATCTACTTTGAGGTTCCTTAATATTATCAAAACTGTCCTGAGGTCCTTTAGTGTAAAGCGGTAAATCAGCTTTGTCAAGCACACACAGCTTTGAAATATCACATTTAAAACCAAAAGTGGTAAGAACATGAAATGCTGGTTTTGCAGGAAACAGCATTGGCAGGACAACTAGCCAAGCCTACACAAAATCATTATAAACTATGAATTATCAAAACCAAAACAGTTTACATAAGAGACAGCATTTGAAAAGATGACAGAAAAAATCCTTTTTCTTACCTTCAGTAGCTTTATTTATAGCTGTTAGCGTACTCAGGACCTTGGAGAACTGTTCTCCTGTGTACAAATCATGTGGCTCAAACAGCTGTGAAAGAGGAATGTGGTCAGTTCAGCATGAAACAACTCACGATGGTCGTCCGAGCAGCCCACGGTGGCACCGAGTGACAGTGATGATTAAATAGCCCCTACGTCTCTGCAGGGACAGGACATTCGCTCAGGGCGGACGAGCCCAGTTTCCTTCTGAGCGGGCGAATTCCTGGGGTGCAGGGGCCACCCGGAGCGGGATGGACAGCGGGATGTGAAATCAGTGCTGGCTGCACAGAGGGGTCAGATCCTGGTCCTCTGAATCACCGAGAAGGTTCTTGCTGGCCTTGAGGGAAGGAAGCTATTTTTGTTATCTAAAGCCACAGAGACTAGGGCTGTGTACGCATGTGTGTGCACATATATACATAGGGATGTATGCAGATATATTTTAAAGCAAAATAAATGCACAGGATTTTCAGCTATTGCAGTATGACAAACGTAGTGCATTTTCACATTGTTGCAGAAAAGGCTATTTTATGTGCAAAGAAAAACCTATTCTAAAGAATTTTTTGCTAATGAGTGGGAAATAAGAATAAGACATAATTTATGCATCATAAATTATCCCTTCTTTTACACCTCAATTGAGTAGCACAGATGAGGGGCAGCAGAGTTCCCAAAGCACTGCAATCCCCTCCACCACGCGAGAAATACCCTGGAGTTCAGAAAGCCCCTGCAATGCAAATCCTTTCCTGAACGGAGCAGAGAGAAGTAACACACAAATAAAAGCTTGTGCTGTCGGTACAACCACCAAAAAACTTGCTTTAACACAAGGCACCATCTGCTCATCCACAAACGCACATTGTCTTGCAGATGGAGACCAGGGATCTGCAGATCCGGGGAAGAGGGAAGATGACTTAAAAGTGCTCCCGTCGGATACTATCTGCTTACAGATTCTTCCAGCAGACTGGAGAGCGTATCCGCCTAAATTGGCACAGAGCATTCATTATCTTAAAGGCAGCTCTGCCCGTTTGGATGTCCCTCGCTGCCTCGGGTTCCAGGTACAGCTTGGGCAGACGGCGCTTAGGATGGGACCGGCTCTTTGGCACCCGGGGTGCCGCGGGGTCCTCCTCTCCGTGCGGCCACGTGCACCATGCCCAGGCTGCTCTTCGGGGTCAGTATTTCTGCACCTGGACTCATACGCTCATTAGCAGCAACGAGACTTCACCCCGTGAGAGCTACCATGGGCAGCTGCCGCGGCTCCCGCTCCAACATAGCACCTATGGAACCAGCAGCCGGTGCATCAATGCGCAGCGCTCCGGAGGCTCCGCTCCCGCTGAGGCTCTGCGCATTCCGGGGATGCCCCTGCCTGGCCAGGCTCTTCCCAGCGGATCCGCTGGTGGTCACCTGCACCCAACCACGCAGCCCTGAGCACTTCAGCCCCTTCTCCCTCCTTGCAATTACAATTAAGCACAGCTGAAGCTGGTAGCTTTAAGCAGCCACCTTGCAGCTGTGGTTTCTCAGGAAGAAAAATCCCTCATCTTTTAATGCACAAAATAAGCTTGGATTCATCAGGGTGGGAGAGCCCAGAGGGAAATGGTGGCAGGAGAGGTGCAAAGGAAATCCCAGCACAAGACAACTGACTTTCAGCGCTTTCTTTACAGATAAATTGTCTGGAATAGCTGCTGTGGAACAACACGTCTGTATGGAAAACTATTCCGAATCACCTACTGTTCCTTAAAAACTTCACACTCTATTGCAGAATAAACCCATCATAGAGAAGAGTCCTCATTTATGAGCTAAATAAGGCTTTTCCACCCCCTCAGTGCATTGCATGCAAAAATTCCAGTGTTAGTCAGAAAACAAGCTGCAAAGCTAGAAGGAAAACAGGGAAGAGGATTTCACTACTAGCCCATGGAGGAAATGAGGTACAGGAATACAACTCTCAACCCCCCGGTTGTCCTTTGAGGAACTCAGACAAACTGCCTTTTCCTTCTCCCCTTCACTCAGACGGAGGGATCGCCGCTTCCCTAGCGGACACTCCCGTGCGGGGCAGCATCAGGACAGGGATAACCCCGCTCCGGGCGGCACTGCGGAGCCAGCGCGGCCGGGCAGGGAGCGCGGGCACCCACGGCCAGGGAGCGACACCTCCGTGGTCGGGACATGCGAGAGGCGCGCGGGAGGCTGCGGATCCTGCCCGGGGACACGCGTGGGGTCGGGCGGGGCCGGCCGGGGAGCGCGCGGCGGGGCCGGTGCTCGCGGCGG